ATCTAGCACAACATAAAGTTTGCTAGCGTCTGGGCAGATGCTAGAAGATCCTTAGGACATAAGAGGAAATTTTCCTTCTTTGAATACATAGACTTACACATCACATCTATTGTATATTCTTGATAAGCAGGATGTGATCCTTATGGCGCTTTTTTTTTTTTTTTTGCCAAAATCTAATATTCAGAGGATCAGCAGCTGGCCACAAGTATTAAAAGTTGTGAATAGTAGACCTTTTTGAAGTAGAATTGCTATTTGATACTTGCTGGTGTCCTGAATTCTCTCTCCTTTGTTCAGAATGCTTTTCCAATGTTGTACCCCTAACAACGTCGAACTGTTTGGTTCTGTTTTCTGCTCCCTCTTGCCAAAATGGAATATATTTGGGCTATAATTCAAGTCGCAGGAATGTTGGATGGGCGCTATTGTAGAATGTAAAGTTTTAACTAAGAGAAACAGCTGGCTCCAGATGCCATCTGTGATGGTTCCGATATAGCAGTTGTCATCATTACTTCTTTCTGTACTACATTTCCTTCCCACTTTAAGCTGGGGTCTGCTGTAGTCATATTCTAACTGTGATTAGCACAGATGTGAGGATACCAAAGGTCAGTGCCTACTTATTGGCAGGGAGTAAGCAAGACACTTTCTCCTGTGCTTTTCAAACTGATGCAGCTCTAGGGCTGCATTAGGATCTTTATGCTTTTGGGCATGTTCAATAAGCAGAACTCATTATTCTCTTTCTGAACTGTAGACAAGCTTATTGGTGATTCTTGCAGCAGCTGGGAATGGAAGAGTAATTGGTTTGAATAGGTTTCAGCTTCAGGGGAGATTTGGTTGAGTGGCTGCTCTGAGCAGCAGGCTTTTCATGTTATGATATGTCCCCTAGGACAAGACACTCGCTAGAGCACCGATTACTGAATAATTTGCATGTCACCCATCCATCTACTTGGCAGTGCAAGTGGTCATAGGCTAAAGCTGTTAATGCTGTATAGAGCTAGTAAATTAACAGCTGATGCAGCCTAAACCATTTCCGTGGATGGAGTTCTATGTAACTAAGAACAGGCTGCTAGCATGACTCTTGAAGGGTGAAAGCAGTAAAGCCAAGCCAAAGGGAGGCAGTGTCTGGAACATGTTCCTAGACAGAGGAATCAAGTCAAGAGGCTTTGAATAGACCTTGTACACATTGTTGTGCAAAGTGAATGGAACTGAGTCAGTGACTCGTGGTCAGTGTTTTCTGGTTGCATTTACATTCATTGGAATCGTCTTAGGAAGAAATGGTTTAAGTCTTTAGAATTTTAGGCTTCCTTTGTACAACTGTAGAATAGGCTTAGGCTTGTTTGTGGTTCAGCATTTGCTAAATCACAGTAGACTATCTGGGCATAACATGTTCCACGCATGCAGCAATTGTGTTTTGTTAACGCTTAACATACTAGACCATCTAGATCAGTGTTTCTCAACCTTGACAATTTTAAGGCATGTGGACTTCAACTCCCAGAATTCCACAGCCAGCATTGCTGGCTGTGAAATTCTGGGAGTTGAAGTCCACATGCCTCAAAATTGTCAAGGTTGAGAAACACTGATCTAGATTATTGAGTCCAACCTGTTGCCCAGTGCAGAAATCCAAATGAAAGCATCCATTTAGGCATCGATCACTGGTCTCTAGGTTCCTAGGTTTCCCCTTTTCTTCCTCTTGAAACATGTGCCCTCCAATCACCTGTTAATTCTTTAAAAAAAGATCAGGCCAGATCAGTAAGTTCCTTCAATAGCTAAGTAAGGTACATGTCATCTGCCCTCACATAAGGTCAAGAAGCATTGTCTACTCTATCCCAAGCAAAATCTGCAAACATGCTCCTTTATCTCTCTTCACAGTTGTATTGTGAAATACATATCCTCTTCTCAGAAAAGGCTTAAGCCAAAATGAGCTCTGCCTTTTGTTATCTGTAAGCTTTTTGCTATCTTTATTGAGCAACTTGTATAATTATTTCCTTCTTCTTTTTTTGAACCTATCAATCTATCTTAAAATTTGGTTGTTGAAATTCTAGTTTCCATTAACCCTAATCACATAATTGGCCAAGTTCACTCATAGCGTTTGCTTAGTCAAGATTAACTGAATAAATTACACTTTGCTATATTCACCCGGCATAGCAAATCAAGCAAATGACATTATGGCATAGAATGGAGTTTCAGAAACTTTCTGGCTCAGGAATCTGTTAGAAAAAACAAGAGGGGTAGTTCTGAGCTGACAAGCTCTCTGCTACACTTTAGAGAAGGTATAAAAAAAATTCCACAAGGTACCTCCTTGTGAAGTCTTTTGTTATTTGTGGAGAATTTTTTTCTTAGTTCATTAGAGTTTTGCTTCCCTTTATTCCCATGGAACACATTCAAGTCATCTGCTTAACAGCAATCTGTGAATTGGGTCATAATTCACCATAGGGAAGACCATCTATTGCCCGCATTTTGCCCACCATAAAGGTGACATTCTTCCCTTAAACTAATCAGGTATGGAGGCTTTTTAAGAGGTTTTTTTTTTTCCCAAGACTCACTTGCCATACTTGATTGGATCAATAAATATGAATACTCATACATTCCTGCCTGCAGCTCTTTAAATTCCTCGTAAGGACACTCTGTTAACATGTTAATGTATTGATTGCACCAGTTTTCTAGAGTATTATATTTGAAAGGAAATACAGTACAGAGATACTCATTCCAGGATGGTTTTACTGCAGCCTTTCAGTAGATTGGGATTCACAGAAACATGCTTTATTTCCTAAACCAGGGGTAGGCAACCTTGGCTCTTTTATGACTTGTGGACTTCAACTCCCAGAATTCCTGAGTCAGCATGGCTTTTTCAGGAATTTTGGCTATTGCAGTCCAAAAGTCATAAAAGAGCCAAGGTTGCCTACCTCTGTCCTAAACCATAATAACTTAAGCAGTGCCTTGCTGGATTGGATCTTGGCCCATCTATTCAGCAGTCTCTTCTCACAGTGGCCAAGCAACTGCACAAGGAAGCCCACTAGTCTTCCATTGAATGGTCTTCATTACATTTGCTACGTTACAACTAGTCTTCAGATTTGTTATGTTACAAAATAACAGCAGTGGCCCACTGGGCAGGCATGATCTCAACTTTCTCCACTAAGGGTCCTGTTTGCAGTCCTTTAGAAGCCCAGCCAAGAGGAAAAAGTCCAGAACTATGAGCTGTTTTCTCTCCAGTCCTAAGAGCCGTTAAGAATTCTTAAGGCTGACCAGTGTTACTGACTGCACCATACTGCAAACAAAAAAATAAAAACCTCTGTAAGTTTAACTTTAGCAGGTTGTGGTGTCATAACAAAAAAAGTTTCAATGCCATCTAAAGTATCAGGCACTAATATGCTTGAAAATCAATTAATAGCCATTGCAGTTGTAGTAGTTATGTTCTCTTTCCACACATATCTCCTTCAAGTTAATAAAGTAGCTACTTTATTTCATGCTGCATTTTACTTTAACATTAAAGCATAGTATTATTATAGTTGCTATTCTTACCCATCTAGTTGCTGGATTTAGCTGCTACAGCTGAGAAATGTGCACTATTGGAATAGTTATTATAACATGAATGAAGACCTTGAAAGGGACAAACCAAGAGTAGCCAGAATTTTTAATAGCACCATGGAGCATACAGCGTTCTTTAGAAGATGTGGCCAAATCACATTGTAGATCTATTTGGTTCTTTTAAAATTGTATTTCTACTGCTCAGGAAAGACAGCAAGAATGAGCCAGTTTCAAGAATATTTTATTGCAATATGGTAAAATACCAAAATTGTCCTAACAACTGAATTTCAAGTGACAGTGAATATCATATTGTCAAACACACACACATATATATCTAAAATGCATTCTCCTCATTTCCAAACTTGTATGAAGTTCTAATGGATAGAGATTTCCATTTATCAGAAGTGTTGATGGCACTTTGATTTATGACATAACCAGGCTAAGCATAGGGAAAGGGGAAATACACATTTTTTTAAAAAAAGCCTTTTTTGGTAAATATGTGGTGTTTTGAGTTTATAATCACGACAACGACGAATGATGAAAGATGCCATGACTTCATAATGCAAGTTCTTCCCTTTCATACCTGTGTCACCACATACTTTTTGTCACTTGCCTTTTCTCCCCACTGGGGATGTCTATGCATCAGTTTGCGTCAACCTATTCTTCAAAGCATCTGAAGGCAGGACAAGGAACGATGGATACGAATTGGGGAGAAAACCAACCTAGAACTAAGGAGAAATTTCCTGATAGAAAAATTAATCAGTGGAATGATTTGCCTCCAATGTTGTGGGTGCTCCAACACTGGAGGTTTTTAGGAAGAGATTGGATATTTGTCTGAAATGATATTTCCTGCCTGAGCAGGCGGTTGGACTAGAAGACCTCCAAGGTCCCTTCCAACTGTTATTCTTGTATAGCTAGAGGGCTGAAGAATGGACTACCACTAGAACTCAAACACAAAGTTTGCTCCCATCACTATAGTTCACCTACACCTATTGATTCTCAAAGTGATCTTTCATAAAAGCAGCATTTGGGGGGGGAGGAAACAACCCAACACATTTGTTTTCCTGAACAATCATGGATTTAACGCTCAACACCAATGCAATACATAACTCATCATATTGTAAACTCTTAGGGGAATTTTTTTTCATCTTTTATCCCCCTTACTAAAGCAGGTGATTTCATAAGAAAACTTTTTATTTACTCCCACTCCATACATCTTTTGCATGCAGTTCTCCTGCCTGCCTTTTAAATGGGTTTCGGTAGTCTAGACAAGAGGGATTTTACGTACAAGTATAGCAGCAAGTGTTGGGTGTACTCTGAATGTGAATGACTTCTACAATGGCTAATCAAAGTAAGCAACCCAGAGGTATGAAGGAGAATGTGGGAAGAATATTAAGGCACTATTTTATATGGCAAGATGGGACAGACCAGACTGCTGATGTCCCTTCATTCTGCAGTTTTACAAGATTTAATTCCTACAAATAAATAAAGCAGCTCATAGATCTCACAGGAATAAGCAAAGGCAACCAGGTGCAAGTAAAATTTATCCCTTTGGGCCTCCCCACGTTTTTACTATGACCAGCAGCACCTTTATAAGCACCTACAAAAAGCAAGCACACCCCCCACTCATTCTCAAATGAAGGGCTCAAGGATTGTGCTACTCTAGATGTTCAAAGAATTAACATATCCTTGGCACTGAGTGAAGCTGGAAAGGGATTCCAGTGCTATACTCTATATTGTTTGGGCTCTTATAATGCCCACCAAAGGCAGCCTGAGCAAAACAGCTTTAGCCAAGGAAGTTTCAGGTGAACATCAAGAAGTCACTATGGAAGGTGAAGTGATTCAGGCAACGAAAGTGCATTCTCTCCCTTGACTCACATGCAATAGGCACGTAGCGAAGATTGAGATAAAGTAGCAGTATATCAGCAGTGCCCCACCAATGAAGCAACCCAAACCGATGAATGTTTTGAACTGATGCTATGCTCACTCATCCTTCCCAAGTTTAAGTTTGGTTCAATTACCCCAGAAGGCTCTCCTGATCCTTGGAAACCCAGGCTAGCAACACAAATAGTTCTACTGCAAGAGTCCCACCCAAGTCCTCTACAACCCAGTCTTATTAGAAATATGGTAGCTACTGGGGAAATTCCCTCAGTTCTTCAGTGATGGCAGAATGTTCCAGGGGCCCTTTTCGTTCTGAGAACTGGGTGGTCACCAAGAGGACTTGTTACAGGTTGACATCTGTGACATCCGTAGGTGTGCTGGTCAGGCTGACTTCCTGGCTGTCCAGGTATGTTGCATTCTTGGAGGGGTTATATTCTTGCTGAGGCTGAGATATTCGCTTCAGGTTATCAGCTAAGGCAGCTTCGATTTGCTCCTGACAAGCTTTCAGGCAGTCCTGAAAGAGAGGAGAGGAACGAAGAGTTGTTCATGTCCACATTTTGCACCTTTCATGCCTTTTTTCAGCACAACCAAACATCTTCAAATATTTGAAGCCATCATATTAGGTACGCTGACACTGGAAAATTCCAAGTGAGAAGTGCAATCAATGACTGGTTTGTTAAAGTTACTACCGGGGACAAATAAATGCAACTTATACCAGCTAGTCTACCTAGAGCAGTGGTGGCGAACCTATGGCACGCTTGCCAGAGGCAGCACTCAGAGCCCTCTCCGTGGGCACGTCTCCGAATTGCTGGTGGCGGGCTGCGGAGCCCCAAAGTGCGCCGGTCGAGGGGCCGGCAGGCTGTGGCTGCTGACGGACACTGTCAGCCCCCATGCGCTCGCTGGCCTCTGTGTGCGGAGGCCGATGGTGTCAGGCAGCAGCTGCCCCGGCCCTGGCCTTGCCTTGCCCTGAGATAATGGCACCCCCACCCTGCCTCACCTCACCCCGCAGGACGAGCCTCCTACCCATCACCCCACCTGCCAGAGACCCCCTGGATCTCCCCCAACCCTGCCCGACCCCCACAGGCGTCCCTCCCCATGAGCAACATCGAGGTGACCATGCCCACCTTGGCCACACCCACCCAGTCTGCCATGACCAACACAACCACGCCCACCCAGTGAGCCACGCCCACCTGGCACCCGGCAATAAATAAGTGGGTTTGGGGTTGTAGTCTGGGCACTCGGTCTCTAAAAGGTTCGCCATCACTGACCTAGAGGCTTTTATAGAAATTGGCAACATAAGGCCATCCAGGACCATTTTTGATTTTATCAAGTCTGATTCTTGTAACACTTAACAAAGAATACTGGAGTGATACTGTTCTTCTATTTTGGCCTTCATACAGCTGAGGAACACATAAAAAATTATTGCAAAAGTAGAGCTGCAAAAATTCAGCATGATTAGAGTTAAATATTTGCTAATCATGTATTTATGTATGTGCACATTAATTTGTTTCCCTCAAAGAAGTATTTCCTGGTGTACTGGGAACTCTAAGGAAATCGTGCCAAGAAAGAGAGCCTGCAGCCCATTTCTACAATGTTTGCAGAAAAGACACACTTGCATTGAAGTGTGTCTTGCACAGGACTGGAGAGGAAAAACTGCTAGAAATACACATTACTGGTAAGCTATCTAGTGAGAAGTATTACTGTAACATTTGAAACGTTCAACAGTTCCCTCCTCCCAAGAATTTGAACGTGCTAGATTGCCTGTGACTGTGTTCTCCAGAGAGTACTGTTACTGCATTTATCTTAATGCAAGGGAAAATCTTGACCTTACATTTGGGAGGGGCTATATGCAGCAATAATTTTTCTCAGGGCAACAAGGAAACCCCTTCAGTTCTGTAATGAATCACAGTGGCAAGCCCTAAGTATAGCTCACTGCATCTCCTGCTATAAAGACTAAGGACCATCTCCTCTTGCTCTAGCCTAAAAAACACAATGTTATTTTTCTCTGCAGAGTCTTAGGGGTTTGAGTGGATCCTCAACAGGCTCCTTGAGGCTGCTCAGTTTGCAGGATCCTGTCATGTACTATATACAATCTTACCAAGAATCCTCTGATGGTTCTTAGAATCTGACAGAGGATGTGGCAAGTAAAAATAGCAACACCCAAGCTCTTTCCCCCCCAAGATGGTTCCAGTAAACGTGGCCTCTAAAACCTCTTTTAACACCCATAAAAGCTTGGTAAAGCCCACCCTAAATTATTTGGCCAGCTTGCAAGCAGATGATAAGGAAATACAGGAAGGGTTGATTATACAACTTAGAATGTTGGACTTCTCGTGGTAAGTTTCTTCTCTGAGAGAAAGGGATTATTGTATGTTTCTAATTTTAGCTCCAACAGATAAAACTCTAATGATCAAGCAGGAACATACTCTCTGGAAGAAATAATTATTCCTATTTCATTATATAACCCAGATCCCAGCATTGCCAATGAACTGAAAAACAAGCTACGCAGTTTCAATTGGTCAAACGTCAAACTTAGTGACAAAACAAAATCGATCTCCAGAGAAAAAATAAATGGATTGAAATGACAACTCCACTCCCACATGGCAATAAATGCTGAAGCAGAGGGAGAATTCACATGAAGGAAGACTCTCTCCATGTGTGGGGTTTTTTTGTTTTTTGTTTAGTTTACTCCTACACAGATTGAGGGGACAGGAAGGGATTTGTGTGAGGCAGCAGTAGCCATAGGTGGGCTTCTGTCCTTTGTGGCTAATGCTTAAATCTCAAATATCCTAGGCTGCTTCAGTTCTATCTCAAGACGTTCTCACACAAGTCTCTAAGAACTTCAATGATACTCAAATAGAACATTGCAACAATAAATGTAGCTTCTCTTTTCCTCATTTCTTGGCCTTATGATCCTTTGCTAGAACACTGGCAATGTCTGAATGTGGTATTTTTTTCGCCAATCAATGTGTAGCAATATAGAGTTAGATGGATCAAGGAACTGTTTCTTGTAAAACATGTCCTAGATTCTCGTGACTTGGGACTGTTATTTAAAAACACTGTACATGACCATTTAAATCACCTATGTATTCACAACTCTTCTTTCTAGAATCTTAGACACCTGACACAGCTAGTGAGTTGTACGCAAGAGATACTAGGCATTAGCATGGGTGATTCTAAGAATTAAATGCAAGTGGGAGTGAGTGGACAGGTGTGAACGCTGTAAGGGGTAGAAAGAATGTACAAGTCCTCCAAATGCTAACCTGTTCTTTATTGGTTTTGAGTCTGTCTCATTGTTTCTATTTTTATACAATCTAAAAACTAAGTACGTAAAAAGAATGGAAATGTGTCAAAATTTTAAAACTTGTTCCTGATTACATGTTTTATGATAAACTGTCATCCAAAAATAGGAAGAATGTTATGCCCATCTTCTTATAAATCTCAATCAATACTCAAGATTCACTATAAATGCAAAAAGCAGGTTTAAAGGCTATTTCCAAGAAATCAGAAAAGTTCAATAAAACAAAACGACTGGAAATAACTCAAATCTCTGCTTGGTGCCTCCACCATCTAAATATTCAGCTGAAGCTTAATAATAATGTCAGATAGTAGGGCAAGAGAAAATACCAGCTTTTTTATAGCATCTTTCAAGCTTCAGTTCAGGAGACAAAAGCTCAAAAAAGTGCAAAGTGGGAAAGAAACTGAAAAGCACTGGACAGGAGAAAAACCCAATTGACAAGATAAAACACGACATTCCAATTCAGGCAAGAACTTTCTAACAGCATGGGGCTTTGAAATCATCACTTCTTCTCTTTATGAGATGTTCGTCTTTTGTAATCCTCTATCCACTTTCCACCTGTCCCTTACTGTTCTCCATCAACTCTGTTCATAGGCTCAGCACTCAAACTTGATTTCCAGACTCATTCTCATTCATAGAGCAGCTTGTGAGCAGCTGGCCTCGGACAGTTCAGAAAGCATGGGGGGGGGAAGCCAAAAACTTTAGCAAACATGTTTTTCACTTCACGGTTGTCATACAACTTACTACTAGACCTGCAAGAAAGGCACAATTCACCAGTTGGACTGAGCCATGTAACAGAGTATTCAGAATGTCAAATTTGCTTTTCCTGGGAACCTGAGAAGGCAACCTGGGAGGGCTCTGGAATGCCACCTGAAGTCTACTTCTCTAGATTCCATATTTGCCTGTGGCAAGAATCCTACACTGACCCATATGAACCAGACATTAAGCCAATTCCAAGCCTGTCCTCATACACCAACCTAATCTCCAACATCTATCTGCTTGGATGAATTTTTTGCTTTTCAAAGACACCCCTCCCCCCAGTGTGCAAAAGAAAAGAAGAAATAACTAATCTGGAGCATCAGGTAAATAATCAATAGAAGAACCATCTGCAAATATCCAGCAATCATGAACTCAGTGGTAGGTCAGAAGCTGCCACAATACGTCAAGAAAAAGCAGTTGAGTTTTAAAGAACAGCCAATTTGTATAGCAACCCCACTGAGTACTGCAGAGTCACAACTGTTTTGGCTTAGTGAAAAGGCAGCACTGGCTTGGGAATCCAAGGATGCAGAGCAAGGAGAGGAAGCCTGCCAGGAGAGCAGATGTCTTCTTGGGACAACCATGTAATCTTTGCATTGACCAGGCAAAGAAAGGCCCTACTGTCCTCCATTTCTGGAGGTGACAGGCTTTCTGCGCTGGGCTGGAACTGAAAGAAGACTCAGCCACATTAATAATATAATCATATGTGGCAAACAGTCAGTGGCTGCATATAAAATCTTTTCCCAAATCAAGTAATCTCTAAAATGTCAGGGGCGAGTGGGTGGATTTATATGTATAAAATGAATGACAAGTGTTCCAGAGCTGTGAGAAGAAGAATCTCAAACAACTAGTTAGGTCAGTGGTTCTCAACCTTTTTAATGCCGCGATCCCAACCGGTCGTAAGTCGAGGACTAAACCGGTCGTAAGTCGAGGACTACCCAACCGGTCGTAAGTCGAGGACTTTCCCTGCCCGGGAGCGCCGCACATGCGTGGTTCCGCCCCCTGCGCCGGCCGAGGCGTAGCTGGCAAGCGGCAGAGATGGAGCAGGCCGACCACCAGCTGGCCCAGCCCAAGGGAGGTAAGGCACCCGCTGGAAAAGGGGGAAAAAATGGCGGACAAAAAAAATGGTGGACAGCCTTGCTTGGCGACCCCCATGAAATGGTCGATCGACCCCAAATGGGGTCCCAACCCACAGGTTGAGAACCACTGAGTTAGGTGTTTCTGCTTGCCGTATTAGGCTCTAACATTTTTCCTTTCATCTGTGGCTTCTCATAATGTATCAACTCTTCCAGACAAGCCTTTATTCTAGGCTTCCAAACAACTTTTGAACAGCCCAAAGCCACTGTATCAGTGAAAGGGGTGGCATAGACATTTAATAAATAAATAAGCAGCTACAGTGGTAGATGAAAGAATATAGAAACTTAGCATAACGGCTTGTACAATATGACAGGCAGGATTAGCCAGGAAAAATGGAGTTGGAAGGTCTACTGTGTCCAAAATCTAAGCAGAACACATGATCAAGGGAACTTATTCTCCTGCTCCTAAGATTCTAACTATTTTAATAACAAGATGGCATGATAAACAACCCAATAGAAAAAAGTTCGTAAAGAGGACCTATGCCTTAAATTTCGCAATACAAGATAATACAGGAATTTTTAAAGGTAATTCTAACTGAACATTCCATGCAGGGTAAGGAAGTCAGACCAAAATTAGCTAATTCTATCCCTACCTAGCCATTAGTAGCACAATTAACAAAAAGCTGTGATTTTTTTAAAGTTTATTTTAATCTTTTATATTTTTAATGTTTTATACTTATAATTGTTTTTACATCCATATGTTGGAAAGGTGGGAATTTATGAACTCCACCTCATAGAAGTATGTTTAATCCAGATTTGGGAAAGACTGTAATTCACAATAAATCTTCTTGGTTTCTGAGGATTTTACTTTAAAGTAAAAAGTGAGAATAGTAGATGGATGAATCTATCAACACAGATTTTAACAAGAAAATCTTGGTTTTATTTTCTTCAGCATATTGTCCCCATCTCCCCTTAATTCTCTGAACTGCAACTCTACATTCATGTCTCACTTAAGCACAAGAGGTTTCTTAGGCAGAAAAATAAATTTTAAGTTTTAATCCTGGTTTGTGCCCCTTTTTTCTCTTTGTTTGTGTAGCAATATCAGCAGCATCATTTCAAATGACTTTTGAAAGAGTTCTCTTTATTTGCCTAGATGTTTTTTCCATCTAACACATTCTTAAAAAGACAGCCTTGGTTTAGTGTGGCTAATTTTATGGTATATAGTTTGATTTGGGGTTTGATTATTGCTATATTTTTCTTTTGCTATTGCTGTTAGATGTTTTGATTAACCAACAGAAACTTGGGATTTGAGTACTTTAAGAGTCTTTACTATCCAGGTTGCTGCTGCAGCAACATTGGATCGTCAGCTTAGATTTGGCAGCTCAAAAGCTTTGTCACCAGAAACTTTTTGAAAAGAGGCAGATGTCTCTAATCATCAAACAGAGGCTTAAGAAATGATTTGACAGCCTGGTGATTTCTGAAGGAGATGCTAAATGCCATCTGTTAATACCAGATTTTCTGCCCATGTTATAAACAAGAACAAGTTTGGAATGCGAAGGGAAGAAGCCACAGTAGCTTTCCTTGGCTCAAGAAACAAAACGTTAGCAGAACCCCAGTTCCCATTTTGCGTGCTATTGCCTCCAAGCAGGATACTCACCACCTCTGTGCCAGTAATGCTAGCAAGCAGCTCAGTAAGTGCCTCGCCAGAAAAATGGTCAGATGAGGTAGAGAGGCCATGGACTGCTGCCCCAATGCAACCAGTAGCAATCATGGATGGTGGATACATAGCAAAGGTATAGTCTACAAATAAAGAAGAAAGGGTATTGGGAGGAAGAGGAACAAATTAATTAGTTATTTCATTCAGCAAAGAGAAATGTCCACAAAGAAAGCTTAAGCAGATACTTTAGGATAGAAAACCAAGCAAATTTAAAACTAAGCAGCACAGGTTAGGTTTTCAAGTTTCAGAAAAGAATACAACATCTTAGCCCTTGGAACATTATTTAAAATATTTATACTCTGCCTCATTCCTGACCAGATGGCTCATTTCAAAATTTCAGCAATGCAGAATTGGACACTAATTTTTAAGTAAGAAAAATGACTTGCAGTAGAAGCAGTTGATATGGGGACCTATTGCCACCAACATATCCACAGTACCTCTCTTGGAATTCACCACATTCACTGTCTTCTAATGGGAATGGGTAGAGTATGTTAATGAACTAATTAAAGAATGAGAAGAAGAGTTTTTTAAAGAGTAACTTTGAGGATGATGATGAGTGTGGCGTAGTGGTTAGAATGCAGTATTGCGACAAACCCTGCCCACAGCTTGGAGGTCTGCTCAAAGTTGACTCTGCCTTCCATCCTTCTGCGGTCAGTAAAATGAGGACCCGGATTTTGGGGGTCAATATACTGATTGTGTAAACTGCCCAAAGAGTGCTGTAAAGCACTATGGGGTGGTGTATAAGTCTAAGTGCCATTGCTATTATTATGAAGCCTCAACAGGATGTTTAGAAAATAAAATGTAAAAGTATGCTCTTCTTTTGCCCTATTAAAATGTAAAAATAACCTGGGATTGCAGACAATATTATGAGTGGTGCACATCTAGAGATGCTGGCAGGAGCAATCTCATAAATATTAGTTTTTTGCGACCCATGACCACAACACATTTTCATAATTTTAAAGCGCCTCCCAAACTGAAAAAGAACATACTCTTAGCTTATGTAAATTATTTTGCAACAAAATTATTATCAGCATATTTACAAGAGTCGGGAGGAAGCATACATTTGATGAAATCCCAGCTTCCAAGTCATTATCATCAATCTTCATCAATCATCATTAACAGTCAATGCTATTGCACATCAGACATTAGTATTTGATTAATCTGCCAGCTACAGAAGAAGGAAACCATTATTGCCTAAAATTTACTCCAAAGTCATCAAAAACTGGAATGAAAAACACTGGAAGTGGCTGGCAGCTTCCTACACTACTTGGACACCAACAAAAAGGGACATAAAATCTACCTAAGATGTTTAATTAACCAACCTAAGAATAATCTATAAGGTTACATAGCTATTTCTTTTTGATAGCATGTTAGAATAAGCAAAAAATGCCTCTTCCTGGAAGAAGAAAAGATAGGCTCTATCCTTGCACATATACAATAAGTAGTTAATGTGTGAGAAAGATGCATTTCTCCTCTAAGACTGTACAAAAATTAAGGAGTGACCTGATGCCCAGTTCAAATGATCAATAGGATGTATCTTTCTGATGATAGAAGAGAACTAAAGATTATTTTCTTCAACACAGTAGTAAAGTTGTTTATAAAATGGCTAGAAAGAACAAGTTGATCACAGATTTTAGGAAAAAAAACCTCTACCATGGAACCCAATTGCCAAATGCTTCTGTGAACTCACCTCTAGGACTATATTTGTCTTTATTATGCAAACTATCATTTTGGGATTACTATGTCATATTTCATTTTTATAGATAATGGCACACTTAACATGAAATATTTACCATCCCTGCTTTACAGAGACAGAAACCGGACTTCAATCAATGGGGATCTTTGGCCTCTTTGAGGAAAGAATCAGTTTACTACAGCTATCAATTAAACAAGGCCTCCCTTTTCAAAGTTTATAAATTAAGCTGCTTCTCCCTTCCAGAGAGACTCACCCTTTCAAACACAAACATACCTGTGGCACACAATGCAATGAAGGTCTGGGCGTGTTTCTTTACCAAGTGTACCTTATGCTGAGGAAGTGACAGCCGATGGAGAATGTGATCCAGGAAGTCGTTTGCTATTACCACCACCAGGTCCCATTTCAGCTTCTCTAAGACCAAATATTCCCAGTCCTAAGGAAGGAAGGGCGGGGAGATTATGCAAGCAAAACAGGGAATTATTTTTTTAAAAGAAAATCACACAAGAAAAAAAAAGCCAAATCCGTGAGGCTTACTGTGTTTTTCCTCAAGTTCCCAGCAAAAGATTATTGCTCCTTGGAATCTGTATACAGATAGTCCTGTTTAGCAACTGTTCAAAGGTACAATGGCACTGAAAAAAAGTGATTTATGAAGGTCCTTGCCCTTGTGACTGCCGCAGCATCCTGACAGCAAGTGATCCAAGTTTGGATGCTTGGCAACTGGCATGCATTTATGATGGCTGCAACATCCTGGGTCATGTGATCATCATTTTCTACCTTCTAAGCCAGCCTCTGACAAGGAGGAAGCTCGATTTGCTTAATGACCATGTGATTCGCTTAACAACAAAGCAACAACAGTTGCTTTGCAACTGTGACCAAAAAAAGGTCATAAAATTGGGTGAAACTGTCTGAACGTTTAACCGCCTTGCTTAGCAACAGAAATTCTGATCCAACTGTGGTCACATGTTGAGGACTACCTGTACTGCAAAATGTTTCCACCACCAAACTGTGCTTATTGGCAGTTTGGGTGTGCAAATCCTTCTGTCATTGCACCTGATGGATGCAGCATTTGTCCTCTCAAACAAACACCAGAGGAAAGAGTAATACAGGATCTACATCTGTCAATTATGTCTTCATTCTCCTGTGTAGTCAGGCACAACTAAATACAGCCTTTTCTAGGCAAAGAACTTATATGAGTGCTTCTCAAATTTGGTAATTTTAACTTCCCAATCACACTATAGAATTCTATGAGTTGAAATGCACACTGTCAAAGCAAAACATCTGATCTTGAAGTTGCCAAGTTTGATAAGCACTGATGTATACAATTTGTTTGCCAAATGCTATGGAAACATTTTCAATAACTCCCCATTCTAGCTGAGCGATGGCATTTTCTTTCTTCTTCTCTTCCTGTTATCAAAATACTTTATCTTTCTTCATCTGCCACCATCCATATATTAACTTCTAAATCCCATCAGCCTTGGTCTGGCCCAAGCTTCCAAAATCCAATTGTTTTAAGGGCACTTTCAGGGAGGCTGTTGATGCCTCTTTTGCCTTAAAGAATATCCCATTTTAATCCTCTGGTTCATCTTCTAAAATCTTTTCTTTCTAATTTCTTAAATGCTCTATCATAGGAAATAAAAATACCAGATTTATTGGCAAATGGAATACCAAGAGCAATGGTATCCTAAAGAAAGAAAGAAAGAAAGAAAGAAAGAAAGAAAGAAAGAAAGAAAGAAAGAAAGAAAGAAGGAAAGAAAGAACCTCTTTCCTCAATTTTCCCCTTACATTGAACAACTCAGGTCAAGCAGTATAAAAAACAAACACATTCAGAAACACATAAAAAAGATTTGTTTCTTCTTACAACTGGGCAGAGGCTGTAACTTAAGATAGAGGACATTCTTTGTATGCCAAAAATTCCAGATTCTGACCCAGCAACTCTATGTTAGGCTGAGAGCAACTCCTATTTGAAACCCTGAAGAGCTACTGCCATTTAATAGACAATACCGCACTGGAAACCTTACTGCTGACTCAGTATTATCTGTCTCCCCATGCTCTTGTTCTTAAACAGCATACCCAAGCATGTTCCCCCCACCACGCCCATGCTCTATCCTTCTATTTAGCCTTCTGAAACTGCATGTCCAAGATATAATAAAATGCTTTTCAGCTCCCAGAGTTCAAACAGATGTAAGGACTAACCAGAAAAGCTATGTGAGAAGTGGCACTGTGCATGCCCTTGTCTTGCCTGCAGATTTTTACGACTCAATTCCAATGTGCCGTTTGAAGTCAAAGCAGTTATGCACAAGTTGAGCTTTGCAAGCTTCCTTGAAAGAATGAACATGGGCTGTTTCCCTTTGATCTTTCAGCACAGATCATCTTTCCATTCGGGTTTGCTCCTCAAAATGATTCCATTTCCTTGAATACAGGTTACATGCAGTGTCCTCTGTAATCCCTTATTAGGCTACCCATAGGGTCACATCACATCTAAACAGGCTCCCAACTGGTCCCCCAATCACTTGTTTCTTTTTTCTTTTAACTCCTGTTCTCTCACCTTTCCTTACTTTTCACAGTTTCAGACAAAATCTATAGATGCATATTTGTATGCTAATAAGGGTAAATGGTAGCCAGGATTGCAATCCTAAGAAACACCACAAGTAGCCTGTACAAGCTAAGGTGATGTGGTCTCCAAGTCACAGACATCTCATTCTGTCAGTAACTTTCCAAGAATGAGACAGAGCTTTCAATAGTGACCACAATTAGGAGTCTTCTTTTTTGTTATTGATGTTGCAACAAATACTTGCTTTTATCAACTTGTAGGCAGCTGCTAGGAAACATGCATGGCTCTTCTGACAGCCTTCTCTTCTGTGAGAAGTTTTCTGGTTTTGCACTTCCTAAATGTCCGTACACCCTTTTCTCTATGTAATTCTTCAATATAAGAGCTAGAATTTTAAAGACAATTTGACTGTCTGCAATTGTTATCAGTCTCTTCTTTAAGTAAGAACCAAGTTTCGATTGGCTCAAGTATCCATATTAATTTTCATTTAATATTGCCATGAGGGGGAAAAAAGTAACTTTTGTCTGTTTTTCAAGCGTAAGGTCAGAAACCTTCTTGGTTTATTCGGGTTTAATCTTCTCAGTTTGCGCATGACTCAGAGAAATTCTTACATTGCAGCTTTACTGTTGTTTTATGGAAAAACTCACCCTTCAGTTGAAAAACAGCATATTACCACATCAAGCTGAGAAAAAAAAGCAGAGCAACTGCCACAGATGCAGCTAGCATCAAATTTGTTCAGTGACAAATGTAGATCCTGTAATTAGGAAGAATCAATATTGTAAATAAGAAGCTTCAGTGAATTTCAAGCAATGCTCTATTGATCTCAGCAGGCAGCAACAGTTAAAACTTTAAGGGACTGGATCCCTTTCTGCATATCCAGAATAAGGTGATGGGCTCTTTAGCTGGTGGTCTGGACTTCAATAACTCAAGTTTATAAAAGGGGAACACTATTTTTGAACAGTGTTCCTAAAAAAAATCTAACAAATAACGGAGGAAAAAATACTTTCTATTACAAGAAATCATCTTTAAAAAAATACTAAAAAATTATTTTGATTTAAATTTACACCAGTAAACTGCCTTGAAAAAAAGCCAGGTCAATGTTGTTGTTCCCTAAGTCATAAAGATTGGCTAAATGTCTAAACACGTTTGTAAAATGATAGCTCCCTATCTATGGAGCAGACTGGACCAACTTCAAGATCAACAGTCCAAAGTGCTGGATAGGCCAGATGGTTAATGAACGAATGCTGAAAGTAAATCCCATCAAGCTGAAGACCTTGTGACCTGCTGACACGAAATACTCTTTGTAACTATCTTTTCAGCTAAACTTGCATGCAGCAAATTGGCTCAATGAATGAAGTGCACAACAGCTTAGATAATACCCGTGGACGGAAATCCAGCTTCCTTCAAGTGGATAAATTCCTTGTTGCATCATTTCCTTATACTAAGAATAACTTCAGCATGATTTTGAGTGCTGAACTGGTGTCAAGCAGGCATCCTCCTCTTTTCAAGAGGAAATTGGTCTTGCTAGGAAAGTGAGGTAGCTTTCCTTCCAGGAGCTGGCAGATAAATTGCCAGGATGCAGCCATTGTCCAAACCATGATAAAGTTGCTTTCTCTTTTCTTTCCCTGGATCACTCTCACTGCCCAGTTGTGAAAGAAAGAAGCATGGGACATTATTAGCACACAGGAGGGAAGTGGTTGGGTAAGTGAAGAATTAACACTCTCAAACCCAGAAGCAGATGCCATCCTGCATGACTCAAGAGATAATTGACCTATCTTCTTAGTGTTGGTGAACTTCAAAGAGCAGGATGGAAGGCATTCCACAGTCCAGTCACAGAATATAGGATATCAGTTTCCCAGTTGATTTTGGATTCTTCTTCCATGTAGAAGATCAAGTTCCTAACACATTTTGATGCTTATGCCTTCAAACAGACTTGGTGGCCAGATTCAAAGCATTGGCAACAAATATATTTTCATTCACCATACTGACCAGAACAGTCATGTAATTCAGATGAAAAGAAACTGAGTTTAGAGGCTGAGTTGAGAGGGATTTTATAATCTTTTCCTTCTGAAACTTTGTTACTGTTAAATAAATCAGTTGGGGTTCTACTGAGTTTCCTGCACATTTACAGGAGCAGAGTGGAATCAGGATCAGTCCCACAGCCTGACCTTATTGGTGGTCTGAAATCAAGAGGAATTCCAGAGATCTCTATGAGTGGATGGGTTGCATACATGCATGAGTAATCTAAAAATGTATGAATGAATGATGGCAATGGATAACTTTTGTTTCATAGAAAATCTAAAAGTCTAACAATAATGATAATTTCATTCTTAATTGTCCATGTGAATACAACTCCCTCCCTCTTAAATCAAATGCAAACCAATGGAGTAGACAGTGAATGTTCTAGTAAACACTCTTTTTAGGAGTTGAAAAACGAGATCCATAAAATTAAAGGGAATTACCCTCTTTCCAATGATATTAGGAAAAAATATAGCTACTGTTCTTTTGACATACAAAATGTGTCTAGCTAACACCTGCAGAAAACAGGTGGAATATTTGACCCACTCCCCTTTGCTCTCTTTGTTACAACTCCATCATCCTCTGCAATCATGACTAATGCTGGGCTGAAGAGACATATAGTACAACCAAGCTGTGGGCACTAGCTACAGCTTCCTTGAAGGAATCAGTGCCATACTGACAAGGAAAATAATTTTAAAATCTGATTTGTTATATTTAAATCTGATTTTTTTAAAAGAATATCAATATTACATGTTCAATAAAAAGAAGTATAAAATGCAAAGGTGTTAAAAATTTACACTCCTTCATATTTGTTTATATTTGAATCCAAAGCTCTTTGTCCAACAGTCTAAGCTAGCTCATTCTTTTACCAGGAAAAGCAACTAAGGACAAGAGAAAGAGGCTTTGAAGAACGGGGATTATTATATATGAGACAGTAAGCTACACAATGTATCTATTATTATTTGGCTACTTATCCATGCGGTATTTAACTTTGATCATTGAAACAGCTGGCAGAGCAATCCTTGCCCTGTATGCTTGGATTGACTGATGCTGAAATGGAGATAACTCCACTGCCTGACAAGCAAACAAGCTCGGACAGTTCAATTAAATTTCTAAGGAGATCCATGGCATCCCTCTACTGCAGTGGTTCTCAACCTTTTTAATGCTGCGACCCCCCAACCGGTCGTAAGTCGAGGACTAAACCGGTCATAAGTCGAGGACTACCCAACCGGTTGTAAGTCTTTCCCTGCCCGGGAGCGCCACGCATGCGTGGCTCCGCCCCCTGCGCCGGCCGAGGCGTAGCTGGCAAGCGGCAGAGATGGAGCAGACCGACCACCAGCTGGCCCAGCCCAAGGGAGGTAAGGCACCCTCCGGAAAAGGGGGGAAAAATGGCGGACAGCCTTGCTTGGCGACCCCCGTGAAATGGTCGATCGACCCCAAATGGGGTCGCGACCCATAGGTTGAGAACCGCTGCTCTACTGCCAGTGGAGCTCCTTCTGGAGAAATAGGAATTGCACCTCCAACAGACGTTCTGGGACAGGACGGAGGCTACTTGGTCTATGCTCAATCTCCATATGATTTCCTATTTACCTGCAAACAAATGATTTCAATGCTTACATAGATCAACCATTTCAAATCCAAATATCTTGAGGAAATATGTGAATAAGAAAGAAGAAAGCTGCTTTAGAACAATTATTTAACTCAGGCCATTTCCAGTGATGGATTACATTCCCCTGAGCTAAATCAACCTATCCTGCTGACAGGAGCTTGTCACCTTCAATGGATAAGAATCCTGCAGAGGCTCCTCAAAGGATAGACACAATTTATTGCTCTGAGGATTTGGGTAAAATCTAGTATACATTTCTCAGCTCTGCTAGCAGGATATGTCAACTCTTCAAATGTCTCATTCATTCATTCTTCAATTTCTACTGACCATCTCCTTTTTCTACCTGTAATTTAATGCATCTACAGTCTTGAGTGAGAATTTTGAGATTAAGTGAACCCAAGTGGAGCAGAGATGATTGCTTATTTGTAAGAAACTGGCAGAAAAGTAAAGTACAGGTCGAGACCTAAGAACTAATGGCCCAGGTGTCACACTAGGAGAGGCTTCTTAGGTTATGCCAGTGTTTCTCAACCTTGACAATTTTAAGGCATGTGGACTTCAACTCCCAGAATTCCACAGCCAGCAATGCTGGCTGTGGAATTCTGGGAGTTGAAGTCCACATGCCTTAAAATTGTCAAGGTTGAGAAACACTGGGCTATGCAGAATTAGGCCAAGGGTGATGGGTAGCATCAGGCAGGATTTTTCCATCTGATCAGGATCTTTTGCATGAAAAACAAGTGCTCTGCCACAGAGCAATGGCCGATGTCTTGGAAAGTCAACTACCCTGGCTTAACTTTTGAATATAGAAAACAGCACAAGCATATATAATCTTGCATAAGCATATATAATCTTGCTTACTTTTTCTCCACCATTTTCTTAAGAGACGTGTTGGTGTCTAGAAATGCTGCACTATATTCAATCTAGTCTGAAATCTAATGAAAAGACTCCTGCAGAAACTTCAAAAATATGTTTTATATAAACATTCAGAACACAGACTATATTTACATGGAATGTCTCGCTAAAAAGAGCTTCCTTATTAAAAACGAACATAGAACTTGAACCTGTAACAGGATAATAAAGACTGTGATGCAAGTGGTGGATTGTTCTTGACAGAACTGATTGCAGCAATTTTAGGTCATTCTATTGATGAACTGAAAGAAAAATTACATGTTTCCAGACCAAGGACCACAACATTGGCCATACTTTCTGAGAGAGCTGACGTTTAAATATTTTAAAAATATTTACAAGCATCCTTTTGTAATTGGTGTACTCTGCAGGTTCAAAACTATAGCTACCATTGAAAAATGGCTATTCTTCTGTCATATCTACATTTCACTGTTTATTTTTAAATGAGACAGTTCGTTTTTAAATCAGATTTTGCTAAATTTGGAAAACCTGTATTTCTCAACCATCCCCGAGTAGCTAGCATCAAAGGACTACTTCTGTCCTTAACAGAAATTGTTACTCTATATTGTTTTATTCAAATACTATTTGCTGTATGATTACTTCTCATTGCAGATGAATAATGACAAAGGAATGAGTTTCTTTGCAATATATATTCTACATTTGGAAAGAATATAATTACAAAGATTCATAAAAGCATAACTGGATCATGCACACACAGGAAAGACTCAGCTAGGCAAGTACATTTCTTCCTTCTATGCTTCTTACTTATGAGTTCCAGTTTTGGGAGGGGGTCTTGTCCCATGCACATCACTTTAGCGTTGTTTCCACCCAATAACATTTACTACATAGTATGACCATTTGGGAGTTTGTATCTATCCATTCTTAAAGTATGATGTGCTTAAAATTTAATGTGCTCAGCAAAAAGGGACAATTTACTATTCACTTCTAATTTCAGATAATTAATGGGCAATTGCACTCAATAAGCCAAATTCAAAAGTCTAAAACAGATGTTCATGTACAAGAGGAAAAGAAATAGATTAAGATGTAGCAGGAAAAGGAAAACCATATGATACTTAAAAAGCAACCACAGTGCCCATCCACGATTAGGTAACAGAACAAGCTGAGTTGTAGAAATATGAAATATTATATCTAATAAGGAAGGAAGCTTACCAAAACTTCATAGGGTGTGATGGAATTGTCTGTGTAAATGCAGAGTTTCTGTACACTTAAAGGCATGGTCTCTCGCAACTTGGAAGCCAAAAGCATGCAGACGGCTCCCAGGAGTTGCAAGTGGTTTTTGCGGGTGGGGACACAGGACAAGTAGCGATCCACATAATTCATGGCCAAGGGAAACACTTCTTCTTCACATTTTTGCTCCTCACAAACCTGAAAAAAACCCAATAACAATGGGAAAGAATTTTATAAACAGGGACCATCTACCATACCGAAAATAAATTCTTCAAAAAAGTCATTATCAAAGCACTTTTTTATTTGTAAATATAAAGGAAAATATGAGAGTTAATATGTAGAATAGGGGATGTGAAAATATGTTCTCTGTTTTGCTTCTAGATTCTGCTGCAAATTTGGTTAGGTCAAATCTGCATTATAGAATCAGTATTTGGTTTTTAAGTCTGGCCTGATGCATCATGTGCAATGAATAAGATCCTAAGTACTCAAAAGCCTCTCACTATCCTAATTTCATTTACTACAGAACATTAAAGCCATTTATATCTCGTGCCAGTAAAAATATCAGTGAAATAAATGGCACTTCCATGGAAGAAGCCATCATATGATGACAATATTAATCAAAAATTTAAAAAGCCTAATTCCCCATCTTCTCCATTGATTAGGCCTATTTATTTATGCTGATTTACTATTGCTCCCACTGAATCTTTTAAGTTGATTTAACAATTAAACCATAAACATAGCCCTTTTAGCAGAAACTCATTATTTTTTACTGCATGACTTTCCCATATAGGAACTGGTGCTTTTTAAATGGATGTACTTAGCTTTCCTGTTCAAGATGCTGATATCTGTCTCATCAGCTTAAAGCCATATAAATGAATTTAAATCCTCAAACACTCCACCTAGTCTATCTGCACAGGGCTGCCTCCATTTATGACATATCTAAGGTATAATGGCTGGAGGAATTCCAATCTGAGCTCCTTACTTTGTTTTCCTGAAAGCAATTCTTACCTATTACAGATGATCAGGCAAGTAAGGTTTTATAAACCTGAATTTAATAACCCAAATGCATTAATGGCGTTGCAGAAAGTGGTCGTTTTCTCTGAGTGCTTTGATATCTTGCAAACAAAGATAGTAAATAAGGCAGGCATATAAAAGTTGAGTCCCCTTCTAGACTACAAATCCATGTAATCCAGAATCTTGTTTGCCCACAGGAAGAATCTTAACAAATGGAACTGTATTTCTCCCTTGCTTCGCTTAGAAAAAAGTTCTGCCTAATTTATTTAGGCTTATACAATTATCTAAAACAGTTTATTTATAAGATAAGGCAAGACAATTCTAGTTTGACTTCCACCTTTCTTTTTCTGGTAGAGAAGGGGATGGGTATTAAAATTTGCCCTTTACTAGTTGGTTATTTATTTCACCCATCTTCATCTCTGGTATTTTAATTGTGAAAAACTGCAGATTCTAAACTGATCAGTCCCTGAATGTTGTGCACAAACAAGGCTAGTGACTGGGACCACCTAGAGGTTGCACGCCTTACTGCCAAGAAAAGGTGAACGCTCCTTGAATAAGAATCTTTCCCCCGGCGCAGCACCATCAGGGTGGGTTTTTTATCAGCCTAAATCGAGAGGGCGAAAACGGAGGGGCTGGAGGCCTCATTTACTTTTTCAATTCTCCCCCCCCCCGATAGACTTGCTGTTTATTAAGCATCGATTCCTTCACCCCCCAAACGCAAACCCTTCCCAACCACCTTCGGTCGACCTCTCTCCTTGCAAAAGCCGTCCCCCAAAACGTTTGAATTTTGATCTCTCCCGCCACTACCATTAGACTCAGCTTTCCCGCTCCATCCAGGCTAACCCCAAGGCCTCATTTCTTTCTAGGGAAACTTCTCCGGATTCCGGAGAAATCAGATTCCAGGGAATGAAGGGAGAAAAAACGTGCCATAAAGTCGCCTATACCTCGACGCAATACTTGCCAGAACATAAGATGCCAGTAAAGCCAACGAGGTTTCCTTCCGAGCGGTTGGGAAAGAAGGGGAACCCTTCCCCACCCCCCCACCCCTACCGCACTTCCTAAGGCGACCGATTAAAAGGTAAGCCGGGCTGAGCCTTCAAGGAGACAGGGTGGGTGGGCGGTCGGTCGGTCGAGCGAGCCAGCGACACCCCGGCACAAACCTCCAACATCCAGAACGCCAACATCTTCCGCATGTAGGGCTGGATCTCCTTCTGCACGCACTGGAAGTAGGAAACGCGAAGGCAGCAGCGCTCTTCCTGGCTGAGCAGATTCTGCAGGACCCGCCGGTCCCTTAATAGCTGCGGATCCCGCTTGGCCCGGATCACCCCCTCCACACACAGCAGTTCCATGTGCGCGAATTCGGAGACGGGACGTATCGACGGAAAGAAGAGAGCCGAGGCTGCGAGCGGGGAGCCGGAGGCCACGAGGAAGGGAGAGGAGGGACTCTTCGGCAGTCTCCGCCCGAGCGCGGGTTGGATCCAGCGGCGACCCGGCGAGCCCAGCCAAAAAGCCTCCCCTCCCCCTGCGAGGTGCCTCCAACCTCCCGGCAGTACTGACACGAATGAATGTGCGGCCACGGGTCCTTCGGAGAGGCGGAGTCGGCCTCTGGCCCACCTTCCTCTGACGGACGCCCCTTTCTAGGCCACGCGAAAGAATTACCATCATAGAGGCGGGGGGGATCCTCCTTTCTCTCCACCCCGGGGAAGTTATTTTACGAACAGCCATAATGTTCTTTGCAGCAGGGGCGCTGGCGGACGGATCCATCCCGTTTTCTGGGCATTTTCTTCAGGATCTTTGGCTATTCCGGCCGCCACAACGAGGAAAGGAGGTGTGGCGAGGGGATCCTGCAGCGTGACGCTTTGTAGCAAAGCGAGGTAGCCAAAGACGCAGTTGCCTGCCTTGGATTGGCACGTGTGAATCTGGGTTCTGCGCCCTTGCAAAGCAGGACGTCAGCACTCAAGGAACCCTCGGTATTCCGAAGGTGCCTGCAGTTCTCTCAAAAGACAGCGTGTGCCACAAATAGGGTTATAAACTGTCTGGTGTCTCCCGACCACATACCACCATCACGATGCGATATCCCGATGCCCAGATTGGTGCAAGCCTAGGAAATCGCCTGTGGCATTTTGGCTCCTCCCCTCTCACCCAATGGCCAACATGGCCACTGGTAAGGTGCCCTAACCCAAAGTTTCAGGACGAAGAAGGCAGCGCTCCGTTCAAGGCCGTCACTGCGCCCTCTTCCAACTTCTTCTCCTCAAAAAGGACAGAATACTGATTTCTAAACCATGGATAGTTACTGGATGGCAGCAGAATTATGGCTTTTGTTGCTATGAGATGGTTTGTCTGGATTTTTGCAGTCCATATCTGATACCTCTGGTATCCGATTTTATAGACACATTCACATTCATTTCAAGGCTGCTGACCAAAATGGACAACTAGTTTGTCCCCTCTTGGTTTTTTTTCCCTGCAGAGATGATTTTTGCCAATCTGAGGGGTCCCCATTTCCCATTCTTCTCCTACATGCATTAATGTTTATTTAACTAAACAAGCCAAGACATTTCTGAACACCTGAGACACAGAGCACAACTGGGATCTACAGCAAAATATTGTAGTGTTCGTGTTTGTAGTCACTGTGTTCCATTCCTCCCTTTTCCTTTTTCCTTGTTTCAATTTTATGGCAGCTAATCAGTAAGCTCATTCTTCTGTGGATTTTAGGGGAATCACCTATAAGAACAGACTGATTTTTCTTTTCTTCTGCAAACCCTGAGTTCTCCTGTATTTCCTTTTTGTGGATACAGTAGATGGATGACTGATTCCTGTCCAAGTTGCTTGGACAGGGAGACTTTCACACGAGGACTCTGCCAGTTAAAACCAGCTCAAAATCTTTGCCATCCATGATGACTAAGTTTGAGTTAATCGGATTTATATCTGGTTCTGCTCCAATGTTTTTAAAATTTTAAAATTGGAGTAAAATTAGCTTTTAAAAAAGCAAAAATACTGCGGCATTGGGGCAGCTTCTTTTCCCAGTTGCAAGAATGCTGGCCTTGCCATGTTCTTCCTGCCTCTTGACTTCAGTGCTCCAGGCCTTTGAAAGGGAAATGATGGCTTGATGCCAAGCAGGTACGTGCACATAGCACAAAGTAGATCTGCATGGGCGTATTGACAATTTACTTTAATTTCCTTTTGTATGGAGTGAGCATGAGGGGATTTTAGGTACTACCAGACTTGTAGCAATCCAGAGGGGTGCCAGTGATTTCTGTTCCTTCCAAACTTAAGATGTAGATCTTTAGACAACTTTTGACAGATGGGAAAGGAGGAAATACTGCCAAAATGATACAGTGCCATTCAGTATTCTCTCCAGTGCTTTTTTTTTAATGAGGTGAATCAATGCCATGAAAGAAATACTCATAATAAAGTATGGAGAAATTACTGCAAACATCAAGAATAATATAAACTGGATAATAACATTAAGATATAAATTCATCAGTTCAAGAGTTCCGTGTCACAAAGAGAAAATTTTATATCAATCTCATATCCAGGACTCATACCTTTTTCTTGAGTTTCAGAAAATCTTCCAATCTCTATGATGATGTAATATATGAAGAATCCAGGTGTGAAATGCTCCCTTCACTAAGACAAACCAACCAATGGAATTTAAACTACAGTTAATTTCCCCTTTTTGTCTGTGTGCCCTGCATAATTTGCTTTGTGCAAAGGATTCAAGTTCTACATTTTCCATGAAAATATACCCAGGCTATCTTATTAGCCAAACATTGGGAAAGCAAAATGTTGAATCTTTGTCTCTGAATGTTTTCTGAATTTGGTATTTTGAAACTAAAGATTCAAGCCACCTACTATACACAATCTTCTTCCAATTTAATCTTGGGTTGGCTTTAACAGACCCTGGGATATTCTGAAACCAAACCTAGTAATACTTAGGGGAACAGAAAGGAGGGGAAAAGAAAGAAGCTGTTGCAAAACAGGCAGTTCTGCCTCCAGATCATGACTTTGCAAAACTAGGATACCCAAAGATACATTATCAGACCCAAATGGCAAGTTAAAGACACAAACGTCTAAGGAAAACACTGACAGCATTCATTGCTCAAAGTTCAGCTGTGACAGGTATTAACTTAGGCCCTTAGAACAGGGGTGTCAAACTTCCGGCCCACGGGTTGGTTGCATCATGCGGAGGCCACGCCCACCCCAGTTCCGGCAATGTGAAAAAAGTCGCAATATGTTGCGACATGTCACATGACGTGGCGAGTTTGACACCTGTGCCTTAGAGCTAACTTACAATTATAACTCTAAGTATCATCATCATCATTTAGCCATTGTCTTATCTACTGCAGAATGAAGGCATGTCTTCTGCATGTTTCCAACCCATACGGCCCTGAGCTTTCTTTTGCCAATTGGCCCAGCAATACTTGCTGATGTTGTTGATCCACCTTGTTTTAGGTCTCTTTCGTGGACGCTTTTTATCAAGTGGGATCCATTCTATGATTGCCTTGGTCCACCTGCCATCAGTTCTTCTTGCTATGTGACCAGCCCATTTCCATTTCAATTCTTTTACTCTCTTGATGATATTGTATACTTTGTTCTCTAATCCATGTGCCAGTCTTTCTATCTTGTCTTGTATTGCTGAGCACGTATCTTTCCATGGCTGTTTGCACCATTCATAGCTTTTGTATCGATTGAGAGGTTAGTGTCCATGTTTCACCAGTTACAGCAGGGAGCGCACACTGATCGAAAACTTTTTTCTTCAGGCACGGGGGGGGGGGGAGGTTCTTGAAAATTATGCTTAGCTTGCCGAATGCCTGCCAACCACATTTAACACACCATTTAATTTCCTTTATTGTACCACTTTCCATTGAGATCCATTGGCCAAGGTATATGTAGTGGTCTACTGCATCTAGTTCTTCACATATAAACATTCTAAGTATAACTCTTAAGTATAAAGAATAATAAGTAATTCAGCCTACAATAAAATGAAGGTATGAAACATTGCAAGAATGTAATAGGGAGAAGTGTGATAGAGGACCAAAAGTCCAAAGTCTACAAATAAAATTACAGTAACAGAAGACTACATAATTAAATATTGATCTGCAAAAGGAAAATAATGATCAGAAGAAATAGCTGAAAGAACAAATAAATTGTAGTTCAGATTGAATAAATAAACACACAAATAAATAAGAAGGCTCAACACTCTTACTTCTTCTGCTTATTATCTACATGAAATCACTGGGTGAGGTAATTTGTAATAGAGGATCCAGGGTCCAGTGCCATGATTATATTGAAACTTAATTATATAGTGATACCTTGGTACTTAACTGCTTTGAAACTTAAATTTGGTACTCAATGCATTGGACGTGAATATTTTGTCCTGATACTCATCGTTTGTTTAGTACTCAATGCATAAGCTAGAACAGGTATCAAACAGGTGGTCCGCAGGCCGGATGCGTCACATGCCAGCCACACCCGCCCTGGCTCCACAAAGGTAAAAAATGTTGTGATATATCACAATACATCAAGTGACACAATTGAGGTTGACACCCTTGAGCTAGAACTTGGTGTTGGCTGCCTTGTGACTCACTACATTTTTCCTTATGGGAAAATCTGTTTGATACTCATAGTTTTGGTACTCATCATGCTTCCCATAACCAATTAACAATGAGTATCAAGGTACCACTGTACATCTCTACCCTGGGTCAACCAAGACATGCTGTGCATGGAAGTTGTGAAGAGCTGGATGGAGAGGACCAGGATTAAACTCAACCCTGACAAGACAGGGTTAGTTTTAAGGTTCTCCCAGTATCAGGGATTTTCCATCTTTTTGTTCCAGATGGGGTTGCGCTTCCCCAAATAGAAGTGATGTACAATGTGGAAGTTCTCCTGGATCCTTAGCTCTTTCCTGAGGAGCAGATGGTAGCTGTGATGAGGATGCTTTTGCCCAGATTTATTCGGTGCACTAATTGTGCTTTTAATTGGCGCAGAATTTTTTTCTTGGTCACGTTTAGACTATTGCAATCACTTTACATAGGGCTGCCCTTGAAGATCACTCAGAAACCGCAATTTGTCTGTGCAAATTGGGTGAGCCACACTAATTGTCAGCAAGCTTCCAAATACAATTCAAGATACTTATTGTGACCTATACAGTAAAGCCCTCCATGGCTGTTACTGTACATAATTACATCTAATGAGTCTAGGATGTAACTCTTCCTTGTTATGCACCAGCCTAATGGAATGATGTCCACACCACTACTCAAGGTTTACATTGCCTTGACTCTGCTGTCCTTTAAGAGGAATCTTGAAGTCCTGGCTATTTCCCAGGCCCTGGGATAAGGAATGATTCTCCTTGGTTTTTTGGTATTATCAGGCCTCATTTTTTT